GACTGTGATTTTACATTTCAAATGTGAATTAACGTAACGATCAAACATTTCTTTCACTGAAAACGCTACATGCAGATAAAAAGAATCAACTTTTTTGGATTTCCTTAACTGGGTTTTAGAGTGTGCATCAAGATATGGTTTAGTTTCCTCAGTAGTGACTAATATGACCTCAGTGTCACATTCCTGCAGGCAGACTAGTACAAGTACTGCATATAGCATTCCACCTATCACCTACTTTAATCGGTAGTCCCCACTCTGAATATAAATTATATTTTTCACTTGTTTGTATGAAATGTTGTGTTTGTTTTTAATTGCTATGTTGTTATGTGTTGTATGTGTTTTGACTTTAGCTGCCCTGATGCCAGGTCTCTTTTGGAAATGAGATTTTTACCTGGAAAAATTTTTAAAAATTGCATTTTTGTCAACTGTCTTCAGTTGGATTACAATGAAATGTTCATTCCAAAAACAAACATTTAGACACACATAGACTTTATTTAATCCAACTCTGGGGAAATTCACTTGTTACAGCAGCACAAGGGACAGGAAGAAAACGGGAATTATATTAGAAAAAGACATATTAGAAAAAGTAGAGCTAACCCAAAATACTATACTATGTACACATGATTAATATACACAGTAAAAATACACCAAGATTTTCTTTCTATATGTACATAGAGTGCAGTGCATTGGGAGTGAAAATAATACACATGTATTTTTATTTTGCTTTATTTATTTATTTTACTTTTTGTACTTGGTTGTCCTCTGGCTTCATGATCTTTAGCTGATTTGGTGTAACTTTTGAAACTTCACTTCTTCTAACAAGTCCTAAATCTGTTTTAACATTCATTCTGAAGCTAAATATTATGTTTTAGGAAGGTTAATTTTACTTACGTTTTGGCATGTCATGTCAGAGCCCTGTGATGTATTGCATGGATGGATGTCAATATTTGTAATGTATTGACTCAACTCTTGTACAAGATTTGAATGTAATAGTAAGGCTAGTAAACTACAAGTAGAGGATAAACCAAGGACAGAGATGCAGAGGGAGGAGACAGGTAGAGAGGGAGGAGAAGTGGAGAGAAACAAAACAAGAGGGATGAAGCAAGAGGCACCAGAGGAAAAAGGGAGGAGAAGAGGCCACAGACCCAACAACACTTTAGTGCCGAGGACAAACTATCACTCTCCCTCATTCTTTCTTTCATCCAAGCCTTGATCTATTCTTACTGTAGAGCTTCTGGAGTGCCTGCTCCAATAGTTCGCCATACTGCCCAAATCACAGATCATTTGTTAACAGGGAACCCAGAGTTCTTGCAGTTGGGGAGCAGGGCTGCATAGCAACCCTTCAGCACTTCCTGTTGGGCCGGGGGTTGAACGCCGGTGCCCGTTGTTCACTGCCGTACCCCCTCTGCCTTTAGAAAAGCAGCCGGGAAGTAGTTGACTTACAAACGGCTTTGTGCTTCATAGTGAGGAGAAGAGAAATGAGCGGAAAGGCAAAGCACCCTCAGTTCACTGCAAGCTAAATCAAACAAGGGACCCTCTATATGATAATATACATTTCTGAGGGCTGACATTAAGATTTTCAGAGAGATGGTGCTCAGAGCTAAGTAATGTAATGTAATACATTTAAGATTGTGTGACAGTGTTGGTAAATGGCGTGGATTGTCCATTTTCAGCAGTAAAAAAATGTTGTGAGTGAAAAATGCAGCTCTGTTTTTTACCACTCTGCAGACTTCTGTGATTACAGCCAAAAGGCTTTAAGTGGTTCAAAAGCAAATACAACTCAGCTGCTTATGTGGGTCAACTCACATAAGCAGCTCAAGCTATTTACTTGAAATACTGATAGAAACTAGTGACACAGTGGATAAATGTGTCAGCAAGACAGCACCATACACTGTTAACTATGTAACTTAAGAAGACAACATTTCTGACCAGAAATGTAATTACTGCAGATAGCCACATTTTTATGTATTTACTTTGTCTTACTCTCAAAAGTGTCATTTCTTTGCTAATAAGGGTATTTTCTATTAAGCAATATCACTGTAAATAATTATAGCAGTAAAAAAGTGTAATATTTGTAAAATAATTCCAGTCAGTATTATTTATGTAATACATGTAGAATGTAGAATTATCTAGCACATGCTTCATGTTGCAACCCTGCAAACATGTTACTTTGGGGCCTGTATGAGGCCACTGTGGACAAACCCACACAGTCTCAAACGGGGCAGCCCATAGTGTATGCTGACTGTGGGCAGCCCACACTAAGCAGATACCCAAAGTGAGACCCATGAACCTGGGTCTGTGGGCAGCCCACAGCTAGATGGGGCTCCACCCAGGTTGCACAAATGGGCCCCACATTTCACATCAGTATTGCCCATAAGAAAAAAACTCCTGCCCACAAAGACCACGCCCCAATAAGTGCCCACATGTGCTCCAAATTTGATGTTGATATTTAGCCTGTAAAATTATGGATTTACATCTACAAACCCATAACTCTGCATCCCCTTAGAGATAATTTAGAAACAAAACAGAGCTCGCTTATTAAAAAAAGAAATTTTCTGGTGGTCAAAATCCCCTTTACGTCGTTTAAAAATATTTTAGCTACATTTTCCCTGACTTTTTCATTTCGCTTTGCAACAAGAGACACTTGGCAGTTAATGATAACCTTTGGATATGTGTTTAGTGAAATATGATCGTTACAGGTCCTTGTTGTTAGTCACACCTGCCACACCTGTTTTTGCTGAGTTGTTTGAAATGAAGCAGTGCTCCTTCAGAGTCATAGTAACAGCCTGAAAACAACAACAACAACAACAACAAACAAAAAACAAAACATAAAGAAAAATGAGACAGAAAATATAAAAATAGATAAAAAAATTTAATAACTAAATAAAAAGATCTTTGGAAAAGCACCTTAAAGTCATTTTTCTCAAAGTTTTTCTAATGTATGTATTGATAATATAGTAAACTGAGATAACCTCATGACTCAGAACAAACACCATGGCGTATAAACAACTACGGAAAACTATAAGATTAAAAAAACATATTGCATAAAATAGACATAGTTGTTGATGAAAGAAAAAACAATATCTCCATCTAGTGGACTGTATTCTTAGGTACAAGACCCATCCACCCTTTAATTTCCTCCCATCCATCCATCCATCCATCCATCCATCCATCCATCCATCCATTCTCTTTCTCTTATCCAGGTCAGGGCCACAGTTGGACTGGAGGCTATCAGACTTATCATAGGTACTCTGGACAGATCTATCACAGGGCTGTAAAGTGCAACAATCACCACTAACAACAATTACAGAACAAGGAATTGTTACATATGAACAAAGCTGGAAACAACAAATGTTTACAACATAAGAAACTGTGGGGTGCTGGTTTCTTTCAGAGGATTTAGAGAAAGTAAACTACACAAAAACAAACAATAACAAATACACAGTAACAATAGCTTGGAGTAAATTCATGCAAGCCAACATCAATACAAATGTCTGGTTTGTCTTCATACAAATCCCTTAACTATAAAATCTGTCTGCAGTTTAAAAACAAAAACCCCAAAGATATAAATAGAAAGTTCCTTGTAAGCTGTTGGCTGGGTTTCAGATGCAGAACTGGTAAAACAAGCCCCTGGCTTCTGTTAGTATTGCATACATGTGCCATCTGACAGCTACTGACAGCAACACTACAACAAATCTTGCTGAGGTAACTTTAAACAAGACACAGGCAAAAATTAAAGTTAACACAGGGACTGAGTTTTAGGACACACACATAATCACACACTGCTTATTGTAACGTCTGTTTTTGTATTTCACATCATCTTGTTTCCCTGAATGCCCCCTTTCTGCCAGCCCACATGTCAGTAAAGGAAACTGCGTTCACTATTTTATTTTATCATTTAAAAAACAGATAAACTTCAAGTAATATACTTTTGAAAGCTGTGATATAATATGGCGCTGTGTTGCATATTCAAATTCATACAGTTCGGGAATTCTAAAACAGAAAAGCCCAAGGGTAACATTTTTCTCTTTCAAAGAAAGAATCTTAAAGAAAGAGACACAACTGTGGCAATCATTCATGTGATAATAGTGATGTAATGAAATATGTGTCAGACACTGATTTCTTCCAAGTATTACATCTTAGACTTAAAGATATACAGCCTGTATCAGCATGTGGAAAAATAAAATGAAACAACACCACCAGGTGGCCTAGTAGGCTGTTAGCCACATCATCTCATGTTCCGTTTAAAAAAGAAAAAGAAAAAAAAGTTTTATTCTAGAATAAAGCTCATGAATGACAGCAGCTTTGTAATTTTTAGTAATCATTCCCTCTATGAGGATAAATAACTCATATGGCTCAACAAAACATAACATAAGGGATGTCCTCACTGTAGTACGCAGGGGTTCAGGTTTGTTAGTTTTTTTGTTTACGTGTTTTCTCACACATTATTATATCCTTGTCCGGTGTTGGTGTGTAGGACATTTTTAACAACAGATCTGTTGTCAAAGTCACATTTCCGTATTGGTTTATGTTGAAGGAACTATTTTGCATAGTTTTACATAGATAACTGTCACTCTGCAAACCATTTGCTTAGAATAAAAATAGAAACTGAAAAACGAACGACTGTTATGTTGAACTAATACTGCTAGTATTTTACAGTGTTACAGTACTTTAATACTTAATGTGGTAATGTAATACTTTTGTATTAGCTCAACATTTGATTTTCTTTGGTCAGACAGATCTGGGAAATTTAGATGAGGGTGGCACAGGTATTAATAGAATATAAATATGACTTTGAGATCGATACAAGAGTTAAAAGACCGATATATTTTCTTGTTTTTCTTTTCACTATTACACGCTTGCATAACAGCATTTCATCTTATATCTAGCCGTCTCACATAATGCACTCCGCAGAGCCTGAACTAAACAGGTGTCTTCCGCTGAGCTTCTTTTGGGCCGTGAAAGCACCACCCATTCAGTTTGTGTGGGCGGAGCTTCTGGTTTCCTACTGGAAAAATCTCTGACTGAGTGAAGAGAAGTTAGAACAGCAGGCATATTGGTGGTGTAGAGAGGTTCTCACCTGTTGTTAAAAGCTGTTAATTAAAAAAAGAAAAAAAGAAAACTTTTTTCTCCTCTTGAGGTTCTCGGAGTGCGTGCCTTCAGGATGACGGACGCTCTTTTACCAAATGGCATCAACGACGGCGGCGGAGACAAAAATTATTTCAAAAAGGTGAGTTTTTGTCTCTCGTCCTTCCACTTTGAGAACAAAAGCAGGACACGTATCCCCACAGTAATGTATCCAGCGTATACTGTTAAGTTTAACCTGGAAAAATGGTGACTTAAGGTTAGGCTTGTTGTTGACGTGCTACTGTTTTAACTTATTAAACCGAACGTTTAATAAGGCCTGTGCTAATGTTAAAGACAATTAACATTTCCCAATGAACTCCCCTTTTTATATCCAACTTATTGTTTCCGCTTCCCACTTAAAGAGCAATTAGTTGCTCTTTAAGTGGGAATTTTTCTTCCATTTTCATCTTTTCCAAAGAAACCAACTAATCATGGTAAATTATTCTTTGGTGTATTAGATGTAATAAAAATCGATAGGTTGATGCTTGATTTCAGTCTTTCGAGTACAAAAAGCTGCTCCTTATCTGTCACCAACAGCCGCAGCAGAAACCACAGCATTGTCAGCTTCAGGTGTCCGTGGGTGTGTGTGTGTGTGTGTGTGTGTGTTACACCCAGAATAGCTGTACTTCGTGCACTTGTTGATACTGGGAGCCGCGGCCAAATATCCCACAATCAACATAATCAACTCCCTGTTTGTTGTTAGGGAGGTGTGAGGATGATTGATAGTTAAAAGAATTTGTTGACATTCCTGGTGGACTTTGGTCAGTTTAACCTTACTGCCGAGGCATGAAGCAGGTTGGGTTTGTTTGAAGAAAAAAAAAAAAAAGAAGATCATTGTATTTAAGAGAAATTGATAGCCAAGTAAAGCGCAAACCTTTGGTCTTTTTAATGATTGTATCTCACAGTTCCTGGGAGGTAATCTGAATAACCTCATCAGCAGAGTGATGTAAAAGATACATATTTAAATTGGGCTTGGTTAAAAATGCACCCCTTGTAGTGTAACTGAGACAGTTTCATGCTGTAAATAGGCTTGTGAATTGTCATGGCACAATAATTGACAAACCCTGCATGAGGACCAGCAGAGAAACCTCTCCAACTGGTTTCACCTTTTCAAGTACCTGGGGTTGTAGCATTTTCCAGAGCGCCTAGTCTGTCCAGTTTGAGGTCATGAGAAAGGCAGCTGGCAGTGAGAGAGTGATTATCTAATGTGTTTTTATTGGCTTGCCTGACTGCCATGCTGTGGTCTGTGTCTCATTCTTCTACATTTACACTGGTATCCACAACTGAAATGTGTTTTTATAGAAAAAGCTTGTTTAGATGGACATCTGAACACAGCCTTTGTTTCTTTCAATCCCACCAAATCCCCTTCTGAACGCTGTCTGGATTTAGGCTCTGTGTTGCACTTCCTCTGTCTATAAAAAGGTCAGTGGGAGCTGGGGTCTGGCACTGCCACAAGACATGATGGGAGACTATAGAGCCTCCAAAATATTATTATTATTATTATTATAAGGCATTTCAGATATTACAAGCACCTATTTTTTTTTTTTTTTTTCATTTTAAGTTCTTTCTTTTAGTTCGGTGTATTTCTGTATTCAACATTCATGTGTTTTACTTTCATGGCCTTGGCATAAAAATGCTTGCACATTTGCTAAAACCACACAATGAGTTCTGTGCCCTCATTTTGTCACGCTGAAGAGATTTGCAATTTGGAAACTTTGGGTCAAAATTTAACTAAGTGAAGTCGAGTCGATCTTTACCTCCATTTTTGAGCTTCTCTCTCACTCTTGAGTGAAAATGAGTGTAATGATTTACAAGGCCTCACCGGCTCCAGTGGATGCTCCAGGGAGCTGTTGTGGTTCGGGGCTTCCGTCCTAGCCTTCCACCGTTTCACCTCCAGCTGGCTGGTGTCCGACTGTTTGGGCTGCAGAATGGAAAGATGGCAGAACAAAAAGCCGAATAGGCATGTTTCTTCTCCTTATCCTCCTTGGCCAGTGAGAGGATTGACGTAGCATCTGGCCTGAGGGTGTCCTTCAGCCAGACCACAGACACAAATTGACAACATGTGTCCTGGTTCACAAACCAGACAAGCTCAGCTGACTTGGAGGCACACTTAGATTTCCTCAGTAGACTTTTGTATTGGAAAACGACAAATGAGATCAAGCCATAAACAAATATTTACCCATGCAGTAGTTCCCGTGAAATAAATGCATGTCTTTGAATTGAAACAAGAACACACTGTTTGACAGCAGTATGCACACTTGGAATGGATTCAGAGTGAAGAGTCATTTAGGGAAAATACAAGTTTTCAACTTGTCATTATTCATGTCATCATTAAATGATACCGAGCAGGAGCTGTGAGTCTGTTGCTACCAGAACTGGGTCATGGCTGAAGCCTCTCCCTGGCTCGTTGCCAGTCCTAATCAGCACTTGTATAAACCAACTATCCCATGAATTAATGCTCCACATGTTCTTTATGAAGAATCAGTTATATAATACCAGATTGATTTGCTGTTTGATGGATATGGTAATGGACTGCGCTGCCTTTGTGTTTTGCTCTAATGAAGTGTTTTGAACACTTGTAGAGAAAGACTGTTCTGTTCAAGTGTGCCAGTGGGTAGGAGGGGCTCAGTTCAGTGTGCGGATCAGTGGGTTAGTAAGGGCAGCAGCAGCATAAGCAGCCAAGTGGTTTAGTTCCATGTGTCACTTAATAGGATGTCAAAAAGTTTTGTAGCATAGTAACAAAGTATACGTAGAAAAATGTCCTGCTATGGTTGCTATCATACTTGAGCCACTCCTTTGTCCTGGTACATACTGCTGCTGGTGATGTCACGATTGACGTGACCGGACAAAACGTCTTCAGCCTGCCGTCATTCTACAATTATCTGTTGTGTTTTGCCACACCCTTAATAGTTTCAGTACTCTTCTATTGTGTAGTTAACATGACTTGGTTAATCATTACGCCCTCAGGTGGTTCAACTGTTTGAACAGGATGAACCAAATAACTATGGCAGGCTGGTTTCGAGAGTACATTATACTGTGACTAAAATATTATGCTAAATGTGACTATTGTTGAAGCCACTTGACCTGCAGTGCTGAAATTTGTTCTCAAGACAAATACCTTTGCTTACTCATTTTACAGGAAGTCTCTGAGATCAACATTGACGTGAGACTTAGTTATCTGTAAAATATCTGGCAGGTGTGACAGAGAAGCACGTACATCCATAGCCTTACTTGGAGAAACTGTAATGAATAAGAATATTTAAGCTGTTTTTGTGGCAGACATAACAAAACATCTAATTTCCGGACAGTCTTGTGAACTAATTAAAGTGTTAACAAAGTGTGGGTTCTGTTTTTGTTACAAAATATAACTTTTGCTCAACATCTTATAAGGTGAATTAAGTCAGTTTAGGTAGTGGGAAGGCAGTGAGAGACTGTCACATTATCAGTGAAGAGATGGTGACTGCATTCAAAGCTTTACTACATTACAAAAAGTATTTTTACTCCTAAGTTTATATTAATATTTTAACTTTGGTATTATGCTGTTGTTGCTATGGTGATACTACACATCTCAGGTGTAACTAATTTAGTTTTTTGAGGAGTTTGGCTGTTAGATTCAAAACCTTAATCAGAGGTACAGGGCACAGATCATCTTCAGCTGTTATGTAGATATGTTCATTTGTATTGTACAGTGTAACAGTAATTTAAACATTACTCTGAAATTTTTGGTAAAATTTACTCAGACTGTTTTCTCCCCTGCTGACCATGATTGTGGGAATCCTCCCTGTTATGGAAAAAAATTAAATAATCGAAACTTGTGCCTCATTGTTGACATTTAAAACGGGACAGAGAAATTAAACATATTATCCATTTATTACTTATTACAAAAGAAACTAAAGCTCATTCTTTTGCTGACCTCAGAGTGAGTCAGATCATTTCAGCTTAGATGTCCCATGCTGATCACTGTAATCTAACTAGTTTTACTGTGCTGACTAGTCTCTTCACATCACGTTGTTTTCACTAACCAAAATAAACCACAGACCACACCTCTGCTCTTCAGTGAGTCAGTGAGAATGAATTCCTGGTGCCAGTTTATGTGAGCTGCTGTGAATGACAACCTTTTAACTTATTTAGATTGGTAAGTTTGTGATAAAGTCAAGGACACGTAGTACCGCTATAGTTCATGTGGGTCCATTATGTGTAGTCATGGAAAATGACATCAGGTACCTTAATTGATACACGTAATTACATAATAAGGTGAAGCTTTTTTTCTTACGTCAAAAACTAAAAATGATGTAAAAGCCCTAAAATTTTAACAGAAAGAAAAATGTTGAAACCTTAAGAGTGTCAAGTATTTTATCACATTGAATAAGTAATAATAGATCTTTTATAGTAAATTGAAGCTGAAGTTTTGAACGTGCAGAATCTGCTGGGAAGGCACAAATTTTTTGGTATCAGAAGCTTTGTAGTTGTCCAATTTTTACAGAAGAGCAAAGAGGGAAGCTACTGTTGGCATCCAACAATGTTTCTCTCTAATATGTAAAACTGTTCTATTGTTGCATTATGTTTTTCTGTTTGTTACATTTTTAGAAGATGGGTTTTTTGTTGGGGGTTTTTTTTCTTGCTGACTCATTTTTCCTTCCTGTGTTTCAGGGTTGCAACCCATTCGCACAGACTGGACGAAGCAAACTGCAGAACACACGAGCCAGTCTTAACCAGCAGATTATCAAACAGATGAGGATGAGGGCTGGAGCTGAGAATCTGCTCAAGTAAGAGCAAAGTGATACATGCATCCAACTTAATATATGGGTTTACTGTGTGCATGTGTGTGTGTGCTTGAAGTAGATATGTTTTTTTTAAGTAATAGTTGATTCATTCTAAAGTGGAAATATTTAAAGAGGAGAGCAAAGTCTATGATGGGTTTAAGAATCCAAGCACACATGTAGTTTTGCATATGTTACATCATTGTAGCTAGCCTTTGTCACTGCATTGCAGGGAACTGTTGCTGTTGATATGTCTGGCCTCACTTTTGTCTTTCTGTCATGAGCTGTTGTGAATTTATACTGGTAAGAATTGAAATGACACAGGGTAAATGGTAGTCAGAGATAACAATCTCGCAGAGGAGCATTCCTTGTAATCTGAAAACAAAGAGCTTCAGTGACATGTGATTAAGGAGGGTCTACTGAACTCTTTACTTTACGCTTTACTTTTATCCATTTTATTATAGTGATTATAAGAAATCAAGAGAGCAAGATGTGAGAAATTAAGCCTAAAACTTTCCCCAGCTGAGTTTACAACTCTGACAGCCAGGATGTTGTTTAGTGGTATGAATGTCAGAAAGCACCTTGTGATGAAAGGTTGCTTTTCTCTAGAAGAGTGAATCATTGTCTTTCATCACTGTGCTCATGACTGTGATGGCACAAGATAAGAGATCTCTTTCCTTTTGTCTGATAATACTGCTGTACATGGATACCACAGTTATTGCATGGTCTTTAGGTCTGTCTAAGCCTGCCGTCAGCCTCTGAAGTCTGCACATTCCTTTAGTACTTGACATATTCTGACCAGGCAAGGTCGGAGGAAAATGTGTGTGTCTGTATGTGTGTCTCCCTCTGCCAACCCACCTGCAGCCCAGAGAACAGCATGGATTTACTTCTGAGTTATAGGTATTCTCTCTGCTCTATTTTTTTTAAAGATCTTAAATCATATGCAATCTAACCCAAGGTCTACCTCTGCTCTTCCATCTCAGTGTGTGAGAGTGTGCATATCCTGGCAATCTTATCCCACTAGGACACCCATTATATGCTCTGCCTGCTTTCTTTTCTTCTGCTTTGCTCTGCATTCCTCCCTTTCAGCAAAAGTCAGTCTGGTCAGACTGGTTTTCTTCTATTCTTGTCTCTCTTCTCTTCTCAAAATTAAAACAGCAGAGACCAAGACAAGATAAAAAAAAAAAATCTAAATTTCCAATATTGGAACTTTACAGACCATCCTGCCTGGTCAGTACTGAATGAAGCAACTGTAAACTAGCAGGATAAAGGTATATTAACCTGCTATACAGGCCACTTGGAACAAGGGGTTTAAGGTTATTTTTTTTTATTTGAAAGTGTTTTCACATTTGCTTTATAGTTGCAGATGGCAATCATAGCAGCCCTTATTGTACTAAAATGAAAATGTATATGTAAAATTGGTGGAGTCGCCCTTTAAAGCGTTTAGTTATAAAACTCCACCAGCTAGCTGCCCCCAAGGTTAAAATACAGCACACTGCCAATCTGCCAAAAGTGTAAAAAAGCTTTTCCAAAGAAGTGGATAGAGACAACCACAGATGCTGGCATACAGTTGGATTCCCACACACTGCAGGATGATATTAGATATTTAAATGACATATTAATAATAGCCTCTGGGCTAGCAGACATCTGTTCTGTCCAAACCATAGGATCTCTTCCTCCACTACCATGATCTGTTCCCCAGACCAAACTCCTCAGAAGCCCTTCAGCAGGCCAACAGGAAGTGATGCAGGCTGTGGTAGAGTATAAAGTGTGGATTTAAAATCCAGCATGTGGTGACCTTTTTACAATGTGCCTGAACAAAATCCAGACTGCTGGATATTATTAGCTTCATGTCATACAAAGGGAATCCACTGAACCTGACTGTGGTTAATTCTGGTGGGTGGTTATTTTGTACCTGCTTTTTTACCCTTAGGTTAAGCAGGTTTTTTTTTTCCCCTCCAACCCCTGCCTTGTAGGACTTCATTACTTGTGACCTTTCAGGTCTAAAAAATGCAATCCTCTGTAATTACAGGGTAGAAGGAGATCAGGTGGCAGATACGTTCTAAACAGTCTCGAGACTGACAGGTTGTAGGTGACGATGGGTATGTGTGAGTGTCCCATTAATTATGACTGACGGGTAACTCGTTAGGATCCACTGTAAAACGTAGATAAACATAGTGTATGTGTGTGTGTTATCTTGTGTCTCCACGAATGCACGTTAATTGCAGGTTGTTTTCACATACTGACAACGTAACATAAATTCTACATAACAAAGGTTCCATCCACTCTGTGCATGCATGTTAGCATTAACAAACATGCAGCGGTATTGGTGCAGGGTTATCTCTGCTATGCAGCAAATGCTCACACCTTATCCATTTGTTTGTTCCAGACTTCCTGCATGAACACACGTATACAAAGCTGTATGCAAATGGAACATTTAGTGCACTGATCCTTCTAACTTAAAAAAATGCGAACTACATTTTAAACATTTAAATGTGTGTAAATAATGATAATTGTTGCAGAAGCAGATGGTGACATGGAAGTTGATGACTAGTGGGATTCAAAAGGGGTCTCCTTTCTAGGCGTATTTCATTCAGAATGGTTAGGCTTTAAAAGCAGGGAAATCTGAGACTAACATTTACACACACGTGTCCTTGACCAGATCCTAGGTGACCTCTGTGCAGTCCTATTACAGTAGTGACATGTACATAGTCTGAGACATCTGTCAAGCATGCGTGCCGAAGAGTAGAGCAAGTGTACAGTGGGCCGCAGTGACGCAGATCTGTGGTCCAGAATACCAGAAGAGACACGCTTGTTTTAATAATCAGCTGCAGTGAGGTTTGGCTGAGCCAGAATGGATAATAACAAGGCTGATCTGTTTTTTGTTTTTTTTTTCCTTCTCCATTTTCCCCTTCAATCTTTCTCTCTCTACAATCACCTGTTTGCAGGGCTACATCCAATAGCAAGGTGAAAGAAATGGTTCTCTTGGAGTTGAGCTACGTTAACTCAAACCTTCAGCTTCTGATGAGCGAGTTGGAAGGTCTCAACAGCTCTGTGGAGGTTTACCAGAACAACCAGTAAGTACAAATGTTTCTCCTCTCTTTTCTACTGCTCCAGTTCAAGGGTTTTAGAATGAAGGAATTGTGAACTTATGACCTTATTATTCTTATGACCTCACATTAGATGGTAGTATTCTTGTGAGTAGCAATTCAGCTGCTGGCAATAGGCTATAATTGCTTACAATTTTCAGAATAATTGTAGTTTTACATTAAGTGCATGTAATGAGGCTGTGAAATAGATATCATGCTAAAATGTCCACACATCTCCAGGAGCTCAACGCAAAGGATTTTGGTCCCAGTTTTCTTGTGGTGAGGTGACCACTGATCCAACCTCGCGAAGAAAAATTATGAATTACTATTAAAATAGAGATGTAAGACAACAGACACACATTCACAACCTACAAGAGACAGATGGCTCTGGCACGCTTTCAAACGAAAGCCTCTTGATGACAGAGGAGGAAAAGGTGGGGGTGGGAGTTTAAGAAGGAACCACAAAGACAAAGTGCAAGACAGTGGTGTTGTTGTTAAACTGGAATATCAGGTTTTGCACAATGCACAGAACAACAAGGAAACACTGAGTTGAATTTGTATGCAAGCCAAGATGATCATCTGGCAAAAAGCATTCTCTCACTCAGTGTGACGGTCAGGTGTGTGTTGTATGGGTGTGTGACAGTGAAAGATTCTAGTATTTTCTTTCCAAATGCACCTGCCATATTTATAAGGTTTGGATAAAAGGAGTTGATGCATGTTATCATTCTCTCACTCACGTGTAAATGAAACTTTGGCAAGACACAAAGGACTTGATGAGGAAGTGGTGACAGATTTTTATTTGAAGATGCATCTGTTTGTGCTGCAAATAGTACACTTCCTCGTGGCTACGAAGTAACCAAACAAGTTTAAGCCAGTTGTGGGTAAAGAATATTAATTGGGTGACTGAAAGTAATCATGGGGTAGGTTTTATTCCAGAAAGAAATGAAACAACTATGGAGTCTTCCATTTTGAAAATATGAAGTGTAATCATTATTAAAAAACAAAAAAACATAACTGATTTAATTTTGACTGATGAGTTTGTTCCATCGGAAGCTTCGGTGGCATTGTTTTTAGCTCACCCAGTACCTTGCCCACTCCATTCTGACCACTTACGTGTGGTGATCAGTGATACATGCTCATTCTCAAAGAACAGTGTGGCTGGTAGGGTTGATGGTATCAGAATATTTGGGTGTCTTATTAGGATCTCTCAAGACGTTACTGTCAGTGCCTGGAGGTAAATTCATGGTACACAACTCTGTGTGTAAAAACAACAACCCCCCAAAAAAAAAAAAAAAAAAAAAAAAAAAAAAAAAACACAACTAAAATAAAATAAGAAAAGAATGCACACCCAGTAGAGGTAGAGCAGTCTATGCTACATATGATTTGTTATTAGGGTTAGCTCTATGTCCTTCCATCCTTGCCCAACAAAATACTGAGCAAATTAACAGGGTTGTTGAGGTGACAAGGTGTAATGCTTCTAATATCCAACTGTGTATTTCCTATTCTAAAAACTGTTGTAGCGATTTGTTGAGCTAAAGACCTAGTTAGGGCAGTGTTGTAATTTCTGACATAAATCTGCAGATGACCTTATAAAACCTAAAATGCCAACTCATATTGGCTCCACAGTAAGCCCAGATTAGTTTATTTGGTCTGCAGACTCTCAGTGCTGTAAGCACCAGGAGCCTTCAACCTGGTTGTAATAAATTTGGTTTCCTGTCTGCAGGGTACCAGGCAGGGAGGACAATGAACTTTGCTCTTAGGAATCTAGGGAGGCAAATATTGAGTGTATTATGTGTTTAACACTCGTGTTGCTTGTGGTAGTTTGTATCTTGCTTAAATGCAAAAAAAACCCTTCTCTTTGTGAACATCAAGAAAACCTCACGCATCAGCCACTAAGATTATTTAGATCCTCCAAATTCACCAGCTGCCTCTCAGTATAATTGTTAGTCCCAGCGTGATCAGTCTCATGGGATCAGATTCATTAGTGCTGGAACAAACAGCCTCTCTTCAGTCTCCTTATCAGACTATTAGAGAAGCACCTGCTCACGGCACACAATAGGAAACCTCTGAAACTGTCATTGTGGGTCTGCTTAAAATAAAACCCATTTAGGTCCATAGTGTTCTCATCGTCAACAAGCGCCTTATGCACAGGTGTGTGGGAAGCCTAAACTGGAGAATATTAGATATGTTGAGAAAGTCCTTTCGTGTCATTGCCTAGCAGGTGTCTCATAGGGATGACGCTGTACAGCCACAATGGAGAGTTAGCCTCCTCCTCTCAGCCTGAAATACAACCTCACTCTTAAGTACAGAAACACAACACCTGTCTCCAACAGTCTTTCCCACTAGTCCACTGTCCTTTGTATAGTGTCTTTCTGTGGTTATTTCTTAGATTCAGCTCCTTTGTGGCATGAGGCAATGCATAACACAAAGTGCCATACAGTCTGTGGCCTGATGGCAGTACATGTAATGTACATTTGTTTGTTCTGTTCTCTGAATTGCCCTATTGAGGGAAAAAAAAAAACCTGGCTCATCACTGATAGATTATGAAGTAAAAATGAAATGGACTCACTGGCACTGCTCATTATTTCAATGTATGAGTGTAAATGATTCGTCACACTACCAAAGTGTTGCTGATTTGTCCAGTTCCTTTGTGCAAAGTTCATGAACTTTCCTAGAACATTTCTGAATCAGCAGAATTAAAATGATTACTAATGAAAACAGTAAGATAATATGTCAGCATTGCAGGTCACCGTATTCATTTTTGCTGAGTAAGAGAGACTAATTTGCTCTTGTCTATTGTCCAGAATACACAAAGATATCAGATGCTCAGCTCAGCTGTGACCTCTGACACCAATTGCGAATACTTTAATAATTCAGTAATAAATATCATCAGAGTTTTAGAACTTCAGATAAATTTAGTTAATATTAATAACATCATTTCATGAAGTTAACACTTCTGAACACATAAAATCACACGTTTTTAGTTTTATAACATTATTTTAATATACGTTTTCATCTGTCCCTCCTTAAGGGAAGATTAGTATTCATTAGCATCATCCGGTTGCTAACAACATATCCAAACTGAGTACACACTGACTTCTTAGCCTCATTGACATGTTCTAGTTAAACGGGTTAAGAGGTCTTCTTAGTCGGTGTATACTAAGAAGTCAGAACAGATTGCAACAGCCTGAAACCTTTTGCTTTAAACGGTTTAAGAAGTGCTTGGCTCTGTGTAGCTAAACCCACAGCTTCCCTTGACTACTTGTTGTCCGTTTCCCGCGTGTGTGTGAGGAGCGAGTCTCTGAGAGGCTTGTAAAATTTTCCCTCCAGATTCCCTGTGAAACAGATACACTCAACCCCCATGGACCCATCTCTGCCAAGCCAGAGAAAAGTCCAGAGTGATCTCATCTACAAGGACTAATGGATTACACTGCAGCCTCTCTCTCTCTCTCTCTCTGCCAGTGTTACTGATGAATGAGGTTTTCCTCTGGCACGTCAGCATGCCAGAGGAATGCTGTCTTATCACTGAGTGTTGAACATCTCGTGTAAAGAACAGT